TTTTTTAATTTTTGTACTCACAGCAAATTTCTAACACATTCTCTTGAAAACCGAGTACGTAGGAACCTCAAACTCCAGCAATTCCAAATTCTGATCCTCCGGGAGACACATCATCATCAGGCGGCAATGATAATCTGCCAGCAGTATATCGTTAAACTTGCTATTTTTCTACTCTAATAATACATATCATATTATTTATTTATTTTTTCGTAAATAGATTATAATCGAGATGGTGCTAACTGCTATGTGACAAAATAATGTGTTAGAATGGAGGCAGAGGATCTGAAGATTCTCGGCAGATGCAACTGAGCAGCGTGTTGCAGAAGAAAAAACCAAGAAATATTAAGAACAAGAGGCTTCACATGTACAATGATGATGCTCTAGAGCTTAGGATTAATTGGGAAGAAGCACAAGAGTTGTTGCGTCCTCCTCCATCTACCGAGCCGACTGTTTTCATGGTCGAGGATTATGAGTTTGAAGAGTTTGAAGTAAATAAATTTTTTTGTGCACTTGATGTTATTATTATTATTATTATTATTATTATTATTATTATTATTATTATTATTATCGCTGCTTTGGATCTTTGTGTTAACTGTTGATTATCATTGTTTTTATTTCATCTAGGAACCCCCGATTTTCGGGAAGAGGACGATTTTCATATCTCAACCTTCCGGGTATGATTACCTTATATATATATATATATTCTTGTAGAGATTTTATCGATTATGACTTCGACTTGACTGTAGTTAAAAATTATTGTTAAAAATTACCGCTGGGCCAAGAAACTAGCTTGTATTTACCGACAAATTCCACTCTTTTGAGTGCAAAATTTGTTGAATAGAAGCAAATGTTCATGGGGCAACTTCTAAGTTCGAAGATAATTTGGTACTTTTAATTAGGCTAGAGTTTTAACTCAGGGATAAGTTTTTGAGGGATTATTTTCCTCTACTTTGTTTGCGCGCGAAAACCAAGATTCGATATTTTGCTCATGCCATCAAAATTTCCGGAAGTAATTTTACTTAAAGCATTCATAATCAACCTGCAAATTAGAGTGTCATATAAGGTTTGTAATGGTTATCAGGATTATTTCAAAGATAAAACTTCCACCAAATATTGGATTCTGATAAAAAAAAAAAAAAAAAAACTTGCATATGAATTGCCTTTTTTTTCTTTTCTTTCTTCTTCTGATATATTATCTTGAATTTAATCTTATCAGGGAGCTTGCACAACTGGTTCAATGTGATAGTTGCTCGAAATGGCGTAAGCTGCCAGTTCAAGCTCTTATTTCTGCAAATTGGACCTGTGCAGAAAATGTCTGGGACACTAACAGGTCAGTGAATTTTCCGAAGTATTTAGCTTAAACGAGTTAATTAAGTACAATGAATGTGAACTATAGGATAAACCCTTTTGGTTAGCTTAAAAGTTAGAGACTTTCAATATGATTGTTATTAATCGAGATAATTTGGCCGAGGGAAAAATTGTGTAGGACACATTTTAACTTGTGTGATGCCGATTTTTCCAGGTCTTCGTGTTCTGCTTCAGAAGAGATGAACCAAAGGGACCCAAATTTTGTCTCTAGAACTAACAAGGGTATGACTGCAGACTTTATCATTGTTTTGTAGGGTGTATTTTTAGCCGAGTCATTTTCCTTAAAAGATAAAAATTCCTGCATAATTCCTTGTTATTTTCATTCCAGATCACAAGAAGCAAAAAACTAGCGACAGCAAATCGGGCTCCCGTGAAGGCAAGCCCTCGTCTGGCCTAGACGCGCTTGCAAATGCTGCAGTCTTAGGGGACAACATAACCGAGCTCACGGCTGGGCCCACCACAAGGCATCCACGTCATCGTCCTGGCTGCTCATGCATCGTCTGCATTCAGCCCCCGAGCGGTAAAGGAAGGCACGACCCCAACTGCAAGTGCAATGTCTGCCTAACCGTCAAACGCCGCTTCAAAACCCTCATGCTCCGCAAGAAAAAACGCCAGTCTGATCGTGAAGTTGAGCTCGCCCTAGATAATACTACTACTACTACTACTACTACTAATAATAATAATAATAATAATAATAATAATAATAATAATAATAATAATAATAATAATAATAATAATGAGGGGAAAAAAGTGGATAATATTATTATGGAAGATGTGAATAAAGCCCGGTTGGACTTGAACAGTGATCCACATCGTGAGGATGATATTTTGGCGGGAACTTCTGGGATGAGCCTAACGACGTTGATCAACACAGCTGCTGCTGCTGCTTACCCGCTGGATATGTATTTGGGCCGGAACGGGCTCCAAAGACTTGGACCGGGCCTTTCTTTGATCTCTCGGGGTTCTAGTGGAGGTTTTGATGGAGTTGGGTCGTCGTCTGGGGATGGGAAGCAGGAGAATAGTCGCATGGATGGGTGATTTTCTACCGATATCGACTGCTAGTGATTTACTATTTTACTATACACCTCCAGTAGCAGATTTTTATATGAGTTGCTTAGATTTTTTTTTTTTTTTTTTTTTTTTTTTTTTTTTTTTTTTTTTTTTTTTTCATTGGAAAGAAAGTTGATTTGTGTGAGATTGTTTTATAATTATTTATTTTATTTTGTTGGCCTTGTGAAGCTCATTTTTTTCATGGTTAGCATTGGGGCTTTATTTGGAGTTGATGGTTACACAAGACAAAATCACTAGTTATTCATTACACAGAGAGCTTAAAAAGAGGAGATGGCATACCATACAACACAAGCCATTACTACTCTGAAGTCCTAAAACCACTATACAGAGTATAGACATCAAGAATCCCATCCTGGGCAATTTTTTACATTTACGTTCGAAAAATGCGATGCGACTTTTACCTATGGCGCGTCAAGTTCCTCCACTTGTCCTTCAAATCAACCTGAGTGAAAACAATATATATTCATTATCTCCGATCAAAGAAGGACGAAAAAGTAAACCCAGACGAAAGGATATACTTACTTCAGTTCTACCGTCAAATTCCTCACTGTACACAGTAAGAATGACCTTCCAGTTTCCTTTGCCATACCTTCAGGATATTCAAATTTCGCCATCAGCATTGACGTTAAAAAGAGGATAAAAGAGTAAAAGACTATAAATTTCGACAAATTATCCAACAAAACGGGCTATTTATGATTTATCTCACGACAATATGCTCAAATGTCAATTTCATAGAAGTTTTCATAAAAATTAATGAGTCGAGACCTTCCAAAATAAATTATGGTCATATTAGTCAATCAATATAATTATCTAAGGTTCCCATACAACATAAGAATTATATTAGTCAAACTATTATGTAATTACCAAGTTAGTTTTTCAATATTTTGAGAATATCCGAACATGTAATTATTATTTAGAATAATATTATTTTTTATCCAAACTAAACTACGTAGCATGTTTTAATACTCAAAGCACTTTGTATTTATCCAGTATAAAATGTAATGATCAAAGCACTTTGTATTTGCCTTGAGTATTAATACTCAAATGTATTGATCAAAGCACTTTGTATTTGCCTTGAGTATTAAAAATGCACATTAGGGTTAGGTTCATTTTTCGACTTTCCTCTCTGCGCCGTATCTCCAAATTTATGTTTTTTATATTCAGAGGATGCAGAGAAACCTTCCATGCGCCGTACCAAATGCCTGTGATCAATCTCGTAGTAATAATCGCATGGAGTTCGAGGGGGCACATTAGGGCAAGTCTTTGGTACAGACGCAGAGAAACCTTCCATGCGGTTATTACTACGAGATTGATCACAAGCATTTCTCCATCTCAACTCAGGCTCACTAGAGTGGTTAGGGTGAGAAACTTTTAATAAATTTCATTCTGCTTCTGAATTTTTTTAGTTTACTTATTTTATTTTTTGGAACTTAAAAGTCTAGGAGAAGAATGTTACCATTAGATTTGCCAACAAGGAGTCGGTGAACCAATATTTGGAGAAAAAAACATGCCTGCTGGATCTAAACCACTGATT